TAGATATATAGATGGCAAATAAGCATATTAAAAATGCGTAATGTCATTACTCACTAGGGAAATACAAATTAAAACCACAATAATAACATAGGATTATACACCTATTAGAATGGCTAATTTTTATTTATTTTATTTCTTTTTTTAAAAGTTTTTATTTAAATTCCTGTTAGTTAACATACAGCGTAATATTAGTTTCACATGTATAATTTAGTGATTCAACACTTCCATACAAAACCCAGTGCTCATCACAAGTGCACTGTTTAATCCCCATCACCTATTTTATCTAGCCTGCCACCTACCTCCTCTTAGTTAACCATCTGTTTGTTCTCTATAGTTATGAGTCTCTTTCTTGGTTTGCTTCCCTCTCTTTTTTTTAGCCTTTGCTTATTTATTTTGTTTCTTAAGTTCCACATATTAGTGAAATCATATAGTATTTGTGTTTCTCTGACTTATTTTGCTCAACAAAATACTCTCTAGCTCCATCCATGTCATTGCAAGGGGCAAGATTTAATTCAATTTTGTTGTTGAGTAATATTCTATTGAATATATATACCACACCCTTTTTATCCATTCATCAGTTGATGGACTGATCCATAATTTGGAAATTGTAGATAATACTGCTATAAACATGGGGGTGTATGTATACCTTCATTAGTATTTCTGTATCCTTTGGGTAAATACCTAGTAATGAAATTGCTGGATCATAAGGTCGCTGTATTTAATTTTTAAAATATCTGATAATAATAAATGCTGATGAGAATTTAAAAAAACTGAAACTTACATAGAATATTGGTGAGAAAAGCAAAGTTTTACAGTCACTTTTGAAAACTGCTTAGTAATTTCTTATAAAGTTAAACATATACTTATCATATGAAATCCCACTCCTAGGTATTTACTCAAGAAAAATGGAAAGAAATTTACCAACAGAATCTTGCATACAAATATTTTTATTGACTTCATTCATAATAGCCAAGACCTTGGAATATCTCAAATGTCCTCCAGTGGATTAACGGATAAACTGTGGTACATTCCATGTAATGGAATACTACCCTGCAATAAAAAGGAGAAAACTACTGATACAGACAACACAGATAAATCTCAAATGCATTATGCTAAGTGGAAGATGTGACTCTAAGAGGAATACATACTCTATTATTCCATTTACATAACATCCTTCAAATTTAATATTATAGAAACAGATTAGTTGTTGCTGGGGCTGGGGTGGCTGGAGAATTATTTATAAGGAAGCAGCATAAGGGAGGTTTGTTTATTTTTTTAGTGAGGGATCTGTTTTGTATCTTGGTTGTGGTGCTGGTTTTACTACTACATAATGTTTATCTTAACTCTTAAAACTGTATATCAAAAAGAGTGAAATTTACTATTATTTTAAAAGTGAATAATAATAATGGATAAAAAGAACAATGCTAATAGAGACATATTGGCCAAATTAAAGGCATTCAAAATGTGGTATTAACCTAGGTGAAACTGTTTGCAAATAAAAATATCAGTGGTTTATCTAAAATTCTAATTTTAATGTTGGAAAGACTGTGTTATATTTGACTTGGTGATGATTTTATGGACTTAATCCATCTTTAGAATCAGTTTTCCAAGAATGGTTACTTATCAGTAAAAACCTTTAGTACTTTTCAAGTGATTTAACCAGTTAAGACATTATTGGGCATTATTAGAGCTGGCTTTATGTATGAAAACAGATATATAAGGACAATGTTATATAGCAATTTATCTGAAATGTTTCCATGTGAAAATTTGGCCTAAACAATGGGGAACTGCTAAAGGGAAGTCATCTTAAAATCTTCATTTTTCAAGTACTCCTGAAGCAGTAAATTTAAAACATATTACTCATTGCTCTGGTTGTTTGAATAGAACATATTGAGCATAATCCTTTAATGCCTAAGGATCCTCATTAAACAACCGAATCGTAAAGCTGAGAGCAACCTGAGAAATCTGAATATGATAGGTAAATTGAAGGCCCTAGTCATACTTAAATATATAAATGTGTTACAACTGTAACATGCTTTACAACTTAAGAAAACGAGTTTACATATCCTAAATTATTTATAACAACCCAGACTGGTAGGTAGAACATGTCATATATTCTAGCATTTTGCAAACTAGAAAATAGAGACTCGTAGAAATTAAGTGATTTACCTAATAGTCCACAGTGGAGCTAAATGTAGAACACAGGTCATCTTATTCCCATCGGCTGGCATATGCTGAGTGAGTGACACATTGCAAAGTGTATTGGATTAGGAAATCCTGGGGTAAAGCTAAATGACTTGTTATTTCAGTAATCCCTTAATTCAGTTACCCACCCTACTTCAACCCAACAGACCTCAATTTCCCTGAAGGCAATTGCTTGCCATTTTATTTGCACATACATAAAAACCCAACTTTTTTTTTTTTTTTTTTTTTTTTAATTTTTTTTTTTTGTGAACGGAGGGGGGGAGAGAAGGAAGGAAGCG